TGAGATGTTGGTGGAGGGTGAAGGAGGAGATAACTTAGGCATAATTTAGACTGTAGGTCTGGAATTTAGAGCTAAACAAAAAGGTTGGGACTACAGATGTGCCTTAAGTGTGTCAGGAAAAGCCCATTTCAGACTCTGAGTGACCATGTTTGTATGTGAAGGGACCAGGAATGGTGGTGAGTATGTGTCATGGACAAATGAAGAGACCTGGAATTGGAAAATCAAGAAACTATAAATTCCCAGATTATTTTGGTACTTACTGGAAAATAAGTATTACAGAGCTTATAGTTTAGCCTTCAAAGATTACATTTGTGAAGAGCCCCTCATGAAGAAGAGAAGTCAAAAGAAAAGATAGCCTAGGTGCATTAGTTAGCTTGGATGATTCTACTCCTTAGTACTCAGGGCTGAGAATTTCCTCTTAAGGGAATGAAGGGGCTGCGGAGAAACCTAGATTCTAAGGGAGCAAAACAGAGAAGGTTTCTGCTTGTCCAGGGGCAATGGTTTTAGCTTAAGAAAGCTTAGCAGGTGGTAGAGTCAAGCAGCATTCAAAGAGACATGTCCAGCACAGCAGTGTCCTGCAGACTTGAAAACAATGGAAAGCAGGACCATCTGGCAGAGATTAGGAGATCAGTTATCAGTAGGAGCCAAATAATGAAATCACTAGAAGATATGAGTAGCCCTGCAGCATCAGAAGGGTAAATTCTTCCTCTACCCCGTCCTCAGTCACGTGTTCTTTAGGTATATGTTTCCCATATACATGGCTTCTATATGACAATTCCTTGAGCCAAAGGTGTTCCCTACACGTATACTTCTCTAAATGTGTTTCAAATGAGGATCTTCTCTTCCCACTGAGTCTGTATGTATTTGTGGGAAAATATATCCCAGGATTTGGGGAGAAATGTTTAGCTGCTGTGAAATATTTTGCTGCTACTTTTCCTTCTATGCTATTTCATTAAATGACTTTGCTTTGAACTAATGGTTTCCTTTTGGTGACTATTAAAGGGAAAACACAGGGGCAGTTAGGTGGCACAGTGGAGAGAGCACAGGCCCTGGAGTCAGGAGGACCTGAGTTCAAATCCAGCCTCAGACACGATAGTCACTAGCTGTGTGACTCTAAAGCAAGTCACTTAACCCCAACTGCCTCACCAAAACAAAACAAAAAGGGGAAAACACATCAGTGGGGGCTCTTAAATTATAGTAATAGGGCATGGACCCATAGAGTGCCTTCAATCAAGGCTAGCCAACCACTGAAGGATCTGTCTTCTGAGGCATATGTGTAGGGGGTGTCCTCAGGTACTACATATGGATTTAGAACAGTCCATATGGAGGTGATAGTGGAAGCTGTGGGAATGCATGAGGCAGAAAATGTAGAAATAGAAAAGGACCAAGAACAGATCCCCATGGAACAACTATGTAGCACTGGGGCTTCCGCATTTGTAAGTGTCCTGCAAACAGGCTTCCCTCCCCCCCAAAAAAAGCTGACCATTTGGTATTCTCTGAGAGTCCACTCTTACTTTTACTAGTCACCCAGAGAAGACAATGCAAAGACAATGCAAAAATTCATCATTTGATGAGTTGTCATAGTAGGAAAAATAGCAACATGACATTCCCACTAATACAAAAACCTCTCCCACAAATATGAATGCCATCAATGTGGATATAGGGTAGATATAGGGAACCTATGTGGTCAGAGCAAATGCATGGAGGATCACAAATAGGGAATCCTTGTAGCTATGCATGTATGGAAGAATAATACACCTCCAACACTATAGGACTGTTAGTATCTTCTGCTGATGTCATTAAGCTATTCTCTTGGGCTTGTTCCCTGCCCAATGCTATGTTGTGTCCTCCTCAACACACACACACTCTCTCCTGCTTTCTCTCTCTCTCACACACATACTCTTTTCTTTTCTCTCCTTTTCTTTTTTTCTTTGCTTTCCTCTCCTCTCCTTTCTTCTCTCCTCTCTCTCCTTTTGCTTATAACTCAAAGGATTAAGCTTAAGCTCTTTTAGTAAGAAAGGCAGGCTTTTACACACAAGTATAAGACTAGAGGAAAAACAACTTCAGCTCTGTGTAGCATTCTTTCCTTAAGAAGAGAAGCCTATAATTTCCCAAATAGCCCCAGAGTTTAATCTCTTTTGGAATAGGGACCATGAGACAGTTAATTAGAACCTGCAGATCTATCTTTTGAACTCATTTTCTCTTCCTAGCAGGATCAAAATCCCTGTCTCTAGTCTCTATCTGACCTAAAGTTAGAAAGTCTTCTTTACCACTAGCAATTTCCCTTATTATCAACATGCATTCTTCCTCAAACCTAATGGAGTTGGGGAAGGGGGTGGGGAGGAGAAAGGAAGGGAAGTCACTGAATTGTAAAAAATTATGGAGGGCTCTGTGGGCCTGACATCTTGCCTTCTGTCAGTCTCCTCCCTCTCTCATGCCTCACAAACCCAAGATCCTGCCAAGCAAAATGGATCAGGGGAGGCCTAAACCAAAAAGATTAGGTAGAGCCACAACAAAGTTTTTGTACTCTACCTTCAACACTTTATTCTTAATTCCTATTTTTCACAATTCCTTTAGAGTGACTTTGAGCCACCTTAAATAGGAAAACCCACAGAAAACTGTTCCACAGTCTAAATTGTTCAGAAACACCTAATTTTTTCTCCAAATTTTTATGTCTCCATTTTCAGAATTTTTTTTTGCTATTACTTTTTAGGTATTTAATATGAAATTCATAAACCATTGGTGTGGGTGCAAATGTCACACTTTATTCCTGGAGAAAAAAGCAACAACCACACATTGTGTAGTCTGTGTGGTGGTGGGTGCCACTAAGAATTGGCCTTCCAGTTTAAAATAGAAAGATGCCAGAGTTGTCAAAAGGATGCTGAAGAAGAATGCATGAAATGGAGAATGAAAAGAAATGAAGAAAAATTTTTCTGCTTTATCTTTCTTTCTACATTTCTAGTAGCATTTTGTCCTACCACAATCTCATAATACATCCTTGTGTGAGGTCTGGGATTCCCAAAGGGTTCCAGAATTTTATTCTGCCATGTTCCAACATAGAAACAAGCATACTTATAATTAACAACTACTATTTTGGGTAGGATCAATAAGGCAGGAATGTTAAACAGAAGCACACCTTTCAATACTCGCCTCCTTTAAAAAAGGCTAACAAAAATAGATAGCATTTACATAGTGCTTTGCTTTGTAAATATCATCTCATTTTAAAGGTAATAATAATCCTTGGAGGTGGGTGCTACTATTATCAGACCCATTTTATAGATAAAGAAACTGAGGTAGACAGAGGTTACATGACTTGCCCAGCTAGTAAGTCTTTCTGACTTCAGGCCCAACACTTTATCTACTGCCATCTAATACTATACTTGCAAGTCCATGGAATATAGCACCAAAAAGAGAATACTTTTTTTTTTTAAATCTAGAGGAGTACTTAACTTTACGTAACAGTAGTGGTAGGAATCTGAGTCCTCATGCAAGAATTAGTTCTGTCTCTTGCTGCCTGTAAGACCTTGGATAATTCACTAAACTTCCTGCCCTCTGTTTCCTTCTCTGTAAAATAAGGAAATGACCTCTAAGGCTAATTTCTGCTCTAAATCTATACTGTATCCTATAGTTTTAGCTTTTGTTTTATTAACAGCCATTTCTGGATAACTAAATTATAAATATATATATATATGTGTGTGTGTGTGCGTGCACACACACACATATATATATATATAATATGTATACAGTTGTATATATTGCACGTGAACATACATCTTTATATAATTATGTAGATATAGAATATGAATATATATCCTACATATATATGTATATATATATACGCCCACAAGCAAACTCAAGTTGCTTAAATAGGAACTGTAGTGAAAGTTAGTTTGGAAGAGGTTAAAATTGAGAATTGATTGTACTCTACTAGCCCTCAGTTAAATGTTAATATGCTTGTGATGCCCACTATAAATTAGAATTTATGTTTACTTTTTCCTCTTTACTTTAAGACAGATAAAGCCTTATTAGTTCAGGTTTTTATTTGTTCATTTGTTTGTTTTGTGGTAGTAGTGGGATTTTCTGTTGTTTTTTGAAAAGCATGCCTTTTGTCATTTTGACAGCTGGAGATGAAGCCAAACATTTAAGATAGACTTTTTTTTTTCCTTTCTGGCAACAAAGGCAGAGAAACGTTTTTTTAATTAAGGGGGGGAAAAGCCCATCTGTGCCAAACGTACCTTTCATGTTTAAGCTGTAATTAGCTAACCAGTTTGGTCCCTGATATATACTGCACGGACATTTAAGTGTGAATATCACTGAAGCTTGATTACAAAAGGCAATTATTAATTTTAAAGCACACACACACTCACACAAAAGGTATGGCCTGATTACAAAGGAATGATTAAGGCAGGGTATGTCAGACCCCGTGAATTAATAGCAGACTTTGCCATATTCAAAGTATACAATTTAGTCTTTGCCAAAGGTTACATTTAGAATTTCTGACCTTTTGCCCTTCAGTTATTCCAAGGTGTTCCTGGATGTTTTTGCCCTAGAAACTTATATACAAGGCACCACATAACCTTTTGTGTGAGAAAGGACCTCAGAGGTCAAGTCCAAGCCCATGGTCGTGTTGGAGGGTGACCAAAGGCCTAACTGAAATGTAAACAAAAAGTCTTTTCCCCACCCCCCACCTTCCCAGTAAGATTTTAAGTTCCGTGAAAGCAGGCCTTGTTTTTAATGTTACCTTCATATTCCAGAACCTTCCTAGCCCCTGTGTCTTACAAATACTATACATTTGGTAAATATTTGTCGGGTCGAATCAGAATGAAAATGAGTTCAAATAAACCCTACACGGGTGACACAGGGACCTGTGTTTTCTGTGAGCCCTTCCAGGAGGACCCGGAATTCCCCTGCAGTGCGGCCCGTCCCTGCAAGGACCTGGCTTGGGCAGAATCCTTGAGGCGGAGCCTCCTACACGGGGTAGGGTGGGGGTGGGGGGGGCAGGGCGCTCGCGCATGCTGACGAGGAAATGGAGAGTTGTGTTTTATAACCAGCAGGTGCTCCCAGAGCCTTCAAGAACCCGCGGCTTAAAGGAGCAGAGAGACAGGGTGAAAAAAGGCTGGTGGGCGGAGATTCCCACCTCCTTAGCAGGGTGGGAGGCTTGCAAGCTCTGGGGCCATCGTCGGGACCCAGGCCCCGTGTGTTTCCTTCTTTCCATTTCTCTGACCTGAGGACCCAAACCTTCCCCAGGCTGGACCCCAAGACCACCGGCTCTTGCCATTTTTGAGGGGAAATACGTTCTGCTTAGGGAAGAGGGACAGGTTTGAAGGAATTCCTCCTAGGGAGCAAAGGCTTGGGACAAAGAAATAAAACTCTACAAAACTAAAAATTTCAAGGCTCCTTGGCCTAGCCACTGCTGAGGGGAAATGAGATGGGATTCAGGGACTCTTTCTAAACCTTTATGGGGTGGGGGAGGGGAGAGGCTCCAGCAAGGGCCTGCCACTAAGTCTTTGTGGGATATCTTTTGAGCACCATCCTTATCTGTTCCCACAAGTGTCAAGTTTGATAAATTTAGGGCTGTAAGGGAACTCAGAGGTCTTCCAGTCTAACTCCCCTCAAATTGTACAGATGAAGAAACTGAGACCCAGAGTTGCGCTCCTGTCTAGGGTGTGGGGATGGACCATAGGGGAAGGGAAGGAGAAGGGAGAAGATTGGGAAGCAGTCTCAAACTCATAATTGACCTCTGTTGTGAAATCCAGGATCTTCAGTCTCAGAAAGCACTTAAGAGAGAGGAGAAAAAAAAAAAAGCAAAGGACCCATCAGAGATTGCATCTAAAATGAGCTTAGACTCTTTATTCCAGCACATCATATTTACTGAACATCAGGCAGAAGAGAGTCGTCGTTTCAGGCATGAAGGTCAAGTACATTTCTGTCATTTTGCATATGACTTTGTATATTTTCTTTTATGTCCCCCCATAGTGTTTGATTTAAACTAGAATTAAAATTTTGGAGGGCCTCGTCAGGCTGATTCAGGAACCTCATTTACTCCAGAATTATTGAGGTGAGGGTATACTATCTAAAGATTTCTCACCCAATGCTACAGAAACATATGTTTTATAAAGGGTTGTTGCGTTTAAAGATTTACTCTGTATTCCAGTGCGAGTGGAAATAAGCAGGTGTCGTGAAAAAATTCATAAAGCAACAGAAGAATTGAAAGAAGAGAAAATGAAGTCAGAATCCAAGGTAATTTTCCAATGGTCATTTTTTTGTGTTACGCAATTAGGGTTAAGTGACTTGCCCAGGGTCACACAGCTAGTAAGTGTCATGGTTTGAGGCCAGATTTAAACTCAGGTCCACCTGACTTCAGGGCCAGTGCTCTATCTACTGCGCCCCCTAGCTGACCCGCAATGGTCATTTTTGAAAGTCTGATTTACATATAGTGACTGTGTCATGTGTGGTTTTAAAATATTAGTCTAATACTGTTCAGATAGGAAGAACAATTTAGTGTCATTTTGCATGGAGATATTTGGTGATTTGTTTCCAGAAAAACCTTAGATCCCAAGTACAGGGGATTAGTAAGATTAAGAGAAATCAGTTCACACTAGGAGAGCTGAAATGATAAAGGTATTGAAGTTCACAAAGTACTCAGCAGCTCTTTGACCCTCAGGACAACTTTGTAAGGTAAGTACCATAGATATTATTATCCTCAACTGAGGCACTAGAGATTAAGTGATTTGACCATGGTCACATAGCTAGTATGGTAAGATGTGAACCCCGCTCTCTGCTGACTAAATTTAGAACAGGTTATATTACATATCACTATATTTGTACAAAATAAACTTTATATAAATAGAATTAATAGAATTTCTAGAGCCAGAGGGTTTTAAAAATTATGTAGGTCAACCTATTCATTTTACAGATAAGGAAACTGAGTTACCGAAAGTAGATGTGACTTAAAAGGAAATAAATACAAATACTATTTTTTGCTGATGTTTAAAATCTGAAGAAGTTGTGAACTATTATAATTCTCAATAATAAGTTTGTATTTTTTCAGTAAGGAAGAGGTAGAAGAGAGAGAAAATAAATATTTGTTGATCGAGGAAAGTTACGAAAAACAAAAATAATTAGTGCCATTTATGACTATGATATTAAAAAAGCATCAATTAAAACTTATTTTTTTCAAAGTGGCATAATGTACACATCTTCATTTATAACAATTTAAGAGGCAGTTGATTTTTTGTAAAACCATTCAATATTTTAAACATATTAGTTTGTACTTCTCTTAAAACTCTTAATATATTTTACTCATGTTTCCATCTGAAAACAATTTTTAGCCTTAACAGATTCTAGCATTGGTAGAGTAAAACTTAGTGCCACGTTTTTTGGCACTGATGGAAAACCAAAGCACATCTTCTTTGTTTTTATTTTGTAAAGCTATCTTAATTGGATGTGAGGAGAGAGATTTCTATAGGTCTGAGTGATCAGAGGCTTCTTCATGGAGAAAGGGTGACTTGATCTAGGCCTTAAAAGGTTGAGAAAGACATTACTAGGCAGGGGAATAGTAAGTATTGGGAAGCCATTGACATTTTTAAAGCAAGGAGTATTGGTATGAGAGAAGTGTTTTGGAAAGATTGTTCTGACAGTGGCATGCTAGATAAATTGGAAAGGAGAAAGCAGGTTGGATATAGGAAGGTCAATTAGACTACGGCAATAATGCAAACATGAGTGGGTTATTCAGTTGTGTCCAGCTCTGTGATCCCATTTAGAGTTTTCTTGGCAAAGATCCTGGAGTGTTTTGCCATTTCTTTCTTCAGCTTATTTTACGGTTGAGGAATTGAGGCAAAAAGGGTTAAGGGACTTGCCCAGGGTCACATAGCTAGTAAGTAGCTATGTGTGAATAGTAGTTAAGTAGGAGTACAATTTAAATTCAGGAACATGGATCTTCCTGACTCCAGGCCAGTACTCTGTCCACTGTGCTACCTAGAGAGCCTGTAAATATAAAATAGACATTGCCCTAGCAGTCTCGAATATCTCAATTATTTATGAAGAGGACAGTAAGATAACGAATTTACAGACAGTCCGTAGACTTTATTTATATCTTTGTCCCTAACCACTCAGTATTGTTATCAACAACCTCCAGGACCAGCAGGATAGGGGAGTTAGCCCAGGACAAGCTGCCATTGCCCACTGCTTCCCGTAACAGGATACAGCTCTTTCAAAGATGCAGGCTACAATTCTTTTAAAGTGAAGGAAGAAATTCCTTGGGGCAGCTAAGTGGCTCAGTAGATAGAGCAGGGGCCCTAAAGTCAGGAGGATCTGAGTTCAAATCCGGCCTCAGACCAAACACTTGACATTTACTAGCTGTGTGACCCTGGGCAAGTCATTTAACCCCAATTGCTTAAAAAAAAGAAAAGAAAAGAAATTATTCAATTCACTCAAGAATTGAGTGTACTCCTTCCCAAGAAGGAAGCACACTGAGTACAGAAGCAAGAGCAAGCTTTATACTGTGTTAGTCTGGTCCCCTTATTCCTCCCTCCAAGACTCAGATTGGTCCAAGTTACAATCAAAAGTTTCACAATTGGTTAGGTTCACAATTCCATATTCTAATTAGAGAAACCTCAATTCAAGTTATAATTGGTGGAAAATCCTGATCCTTTTGTTAGCATATGCATGAGGTTCATTGAGCCTAGCAGATTCTTGTGCTTGGACATTGACCCCCAACCAGCTTGGACTGGTTTGGGCCTTGGGCTGTAAAGACAGGAACCCTGCTGTCTTAACTGGCCTGAAGAATGTCACTCTCCCATTAATTAGTTAGCCATTCAGAACCTTTCCTGTTTTTTGCAACTTATGTGGGAACCTAATAATTCAGCATTTCTCATAATTTTGTCAGCTTTCCAAAGGAGAATGGGACATAAAAATGACTAAATTGAAACTAAGCACCATACTACAATATGAAATGGCTTTCTGAAGGGAGGGACTTTTGAGTCAGCTACAATTTGTTAAAAGACAGGCTATCCTTTTTTGATTTACTACCTGGAAGTGTCAAATCACCTCAGGGCTGAGCCTGTGTTGGAGTTAGAGGACAGAAGCTTTAGCACAACTTTGATCCTAAGCCCAGGGTTATTGCTCTGACTAAAAGAGAGCATGGTAACACTGTGGTTGAAGACAGCATGGTAGCACCCAGCCAAGGTAATACTTGAAGGTGGAAAAATGCTACAGCTGCCCATTGAAGAGCAATCGTAGGAGACCAGTAGAGTGATCCATTTACTAGAGACACTGTGTCTTTAGAAAAGCCCAGTAGCCAGTGTTAGGCTCAGCCTTCTCTCAGGTAGCCATTACCTACTCTCCCCTGGCCCGGTCCCGCAGCAGTGGTTCCTAGAGAGAAGCCATGGCAACCAAATGACCTTCCTCGCCCAGTCTGGCAGAGTATTGGATAGTCTGGCTGAGTCACTGCACCCTAGAAGCTGAGCTTTTGGTCCAGGGGAGCTATTGTGCTAGCCCTGAAGAATGATGGAGTGAGTGATTCATAATGAATAAATATCATGAGGATTTTCTAGAGGCAGAAAATCTTGGAGCAGAACCCACAAAAAGAGTGAAACAAATTTACAGCCCAAGATAGCCTGGATGGTTGATCAGAAAGGTATATCGCACTGGACAGTAAGAGGCGCTCAGTTTGGTGTGGGCGCTCAGGCAAAGCAGGCCTCAGAGGACTGAATCACGGTCAACTGTGGTGGTTTCCAGACTTCTCAACCCACAAACACCAAAGACAACTTAAAAGGTCAGTGGGAAAAGCCTGTGTCTGCAGTGAGAGACAGAAATGCGGTCAAAGCCCCAGTCCCCGAGCTTGGCCCCAGTTCAGTGGCTGCTTCCTGAGCTTCTGGCCCAGAGACTGAGGGGGGAATTGAGTGGCTGATCAAAGGGGGATTGCAGGGATCTTTCTGCTGGTGCTGGTCACAGTTCTGGGTGGCAGTCCTGGAGCAAAGAGGAGTAATGGCTTGGTGGGGCTTGTAGTGGTGATGAAGAGATAATCCTCCTCACAGTTCTAAGGTAGAAAAGAATGCCTGTGGTCACTCATAGACAAGAGCATGGGCCAGGAAAGGAGTAAGCCCCTTGCCCTCGATCATACAACCTTGGAAGAACTGAAAATTTACAGGTCCTTAGAAGTGTCTCTGAAAGCAGCTGCACAAAACCCCTGAAGCTTGAGACAGTACATTCTCCACACTGGAAGCAGACCCCTACCTTAACAAAGAGTTTATAACTCAAGTAATTGGCTGAGATCACGAGCAAGCAGCGCAAAAAGAGGCTTTTACAGTGGAGGGGAAGTGGGGGAAAGTGAGAGGGAATGAGTGAATCTTATTCTCACTGGATTTGGCTTAAGGAGGGAATAACATTCAATTGGGTATGGAAATCTATCTTACCTTACAGGAAAATAGGGGGGAAGGGGACTAGAGAGTGGGGAGATGATAGAAGGGAGGGCTGATTGGGGGAGGAGGTAATCAGAAGCAAACACTTCTGATGAGGGATAGGGTCAAAAGAGAGAATAGAACAAGTGGGGCAGGATAGGATGAAGGGAAATATACTTAGTTTTTCACAACATAACTACTATGTTACTCTTTTGCAGGACTGCACATGTATAACCTGTATGAAGTTACTTGCCTTTTCAATGAGGCTGGGTGGGGAGGGAGGAAGGGAGAAAATTTGGAATCCAAAGTTTAAAGTTTTAAAAACACATGTTTAAAAAAAATTGTTTTCACGTGCACCTGGGAAATAAGAAATACAGGCAATGGGGTATAGAAATCTATCCTGCCCTATAGGAACATAGGAGGAGAAGGGGATGGGGGGGGAGTTGAGATAGAAGGGAGGGCAGATTAAGGGAAGGAGTATACAGAATGCATGCCATCTTGGAGTGGGGAGAGGGATGAGATGGGGAGAAAATTTGGAACTCAAAATCTTGTGGAAGTAAAGGTTGAAAACTAAAAAGAAAAAAAAAGAAAAAAAGAATCTTGGACATTGAGGCCCTATCATTCTAGTTATAAGCTGCCTGGGCCATATGTGTGACCTTTATTTGGTCCTTACTACCATTGTATTTTAAGCCCAAACTCACTCTCCCCCTATGCTGTCATACTGCACTGTGGCTGTATTTGTGGGGCAGTGTGCTCCCAGTTTTGACAAAATATGCTTTGGAACTACTTTTCTTGCTACATCATTGAGTAAATGCTTTAGCTAAAGAAATGTGTCAGAGG